ATTTGTATAATTTACAGAATCTACCGAAAAAAAGTTTATGTCTCCGATCATAATTTCACCCAAAAAAAGTCCAAGTTCGCTTAAGCCTCGTACATTTCCTCGAGTTTTTTCACCTCGTCTTGGAAAACAAGTACTAGAGGAGAGGAGTACAAGACTATATCAAGTAGAAAATATAGATGATAGTACTGAAAAATACCAAGATTATGAGGACAGTCGACCGTTCATTCATGATGACATATATACTCTTCCCGAAAACCTGGGTATTCAAGAAGCAAAGCAAACAAATGAAGTAGCACAAAGTGTCAGGTTCCAATCTACAGGATTAGAATTGCCTCTGTCATTTGGTGAAAAGCTTGTGGAGTCGCCACTGCCATATGGTGAAAAGACTTTAGAATCTGATGAGTCAAACTTAACTCGGGCGTCTCTTATATCGCAGTATAATGAGACAACACAAGAACAGTCCATATTTGAGACAACATCTTCATATCAAGACAGAGATGAAGTTCAATATTTAGATTCTTATCGGGATGAAACTCAAGATTCCGATGAATCGAAATTTGGAAAAATTATCGAGTCTGATGTATCCAGATTGTTAAAAACTTCCGAACTTAAACAGTCCTTTAACAACTTTGAAGAGGAATCTAAATCTAGCGTACCACAAATTGTACCTGATACAACTACAGAAGATATAATTGCAGAAAATGGCAATGAATTAATGGGGGTTTCTGAAAATTTTGGTTCATTTGGACTAGGAGAACCACCAAAAACATTCAATGCATCTGGTTCGCAAGGCGGTTTCGGTTTATTCGGAGATAGATCACTTGCAAGCACCCCTATAAGTACCTCTACTTTTGGTAAGCCGACGTCATTTGGCGCGGCAACATCTGCTCCTATAGTATTTGGAGCAGGATTACCAGTTAGTAATAATGCCTCAGGTATTCCACCAGCTTTTGCAACACCACCTAGCAATGTAAATACATTTAGTTCATTATCTGCACATCCTTCTCAAGCATTTGGACAACCAGCGTTTGGACAGATTGGTTTTGGACAATCATCACTTGGCGCACCTAAGACACAAGCATTTGGGCAACCAGCATTTGGGCAACCAGCATTTGGACAACCAGCATTTGGACAATCTGGTTTCGGGCAAGCGCGGATGTTTGGAACTCCTGCAGCTCTTTCCGCGAATGTGAGACCTCCAAGTGGTAGTGGATTTGCTCGATTCGCAAGGTAATATTTATAATGTAATATTTTGTAATATAGATCTTAAATTCGCATCGCTATACTGTATAATCTTTTTTTTTTTTTTTTTTAGCAATAATGCATTTGGGAATGTGAATAGCGGGTGAATTTCGCTTTAGCTTTTTTTGCCATTTACTTTTTAGGCTATTTAATCGTATGATTATTAATATATGAAATAATTTGTTATTTAGCAATAATATTTTGGGTGCGAGCGGCAACAGTTTCGGCACAACAAATACCTCTGCCAAGTGAGTCTTATACTTTGATTTTTCTGATTATTTCTTTGTCTAACATTACTAACCTTATCATTTAATAGCACATCTAAATCGTCATTTATGGAGTTTCGTGGTTAGAGATAATGATCTGGACAAATGAAAAATCTGCTAAAGCTAATTTTCGACTTAGCGTGTCGGGGTTTTATCAATGTCAGCTGATCGATTTCTTACAACGATAATAATTCATAGGACAAACCCGAATTTGGTGATGATCGTCATAATTGAATAAAAAAATTTTTCTAACTTTTTATATGCGTTAAAGTACTTTTCATTTTGGTGATCTTTCAAAACCTAGCAATTAAATACATTAAAAAAGCAAAGTAACAAGAAAAGCTCATAAAAGCCTACGTTTTATTAAAATTAATCCAAAATAATCCCAATATTTAATGAGTTATATTAGAAACAAATTTTATAAAAGATCGAAGATATCTTATGATCCAATAGGTAGAATTTAATAATTTTTATACCATTAGATTCGTCTCAATGAAATGAATCAAATGGTATAAGCTTCATCAAATTCTGACTACTGGATTGTGAGATATCCTTGATCTAGTAAATAAAAATCTTTCGAATTATTATAAACTGATTAAAAATTGTGCACGTGATCGGTAAATATCATACTTTTATTGGACAGATCGACCCTGAGTCAGCGTGGGAAGTTTGTGCTACGAGTAGAGTTTGGAACCGGATTTGATATTCGGATTTAAATCCGATTTCCTTCGGATTCGGACTAAATCCGAATACAAAAGCAAATATCGAATCCGTAATCCCATATCACATTAATTTCTATTCTTGGAAATAAATGACATCATGATTAGATCGCTAACGTTGGATAGCAATCAGTTTCATTTTCAAGCGTTGTTTTATATGAAAGACAATAAATTAACTTTTGTTTTTAGCTCTTGTGGTAACTCATGAAAACTAAAGTTCATATGAAAAGCAATCAAATTTAACTTATTTTTGGCTTTGCGTTCTCACGATAACTAATTAACAATTGGTTCTTTGCGAGAACTAAAGTTCATATGAAAAGTAGTTAATTTAACTGATTTTTAGGCATTATGTTTCACGATAACTCACATATTATTTATTTGTTCTTAGCGAGAACTAAGTTCATATAGAAAACAATAGATTTTAACTTACATTGAGCTTTACGCTGTTATGATGATTTGTAATATGTTACTATTTTTCACGAAGAACTAAAGTTCATATGGCAAGTTCATTAAATAGCTAATAAAGTAAGGTTTAATAGCATTAATTATATAAATAATGTAGCAAACATTGTACAGTAGTATGCAAAATGGCTTCTTTCTCTGATCCATCTTCAG